TTCTTTCTTTCTTTTCTTTTCTTTTCTTTTCTTTCTTTCTTTTCTCCTTTTTTTCTTTTTCTTTCTTTTCTTTCTTGACAGAGTGAGACTCTGTCACCCAGGCTGGGGCAACGGTGTGATCTTGGTTCACTGCAACCTCCGTCTCCTGGGTTCAACAGATTCTTCTACCTTAGCTTCCCAAGTAGCTGGAATTACTGGTGCCTGCCACCACACCTGGCTAAATTTTATATTTTTCACAGAGACAGAGTTTCACCATGTTGGCCAGGCTGGTCTTGAACTCCTGACCTCAAATGATCCACCCACCTGGGACGCCCAAAGTGCTGGGATTACAGGTGTGAGCCACTGAGCCGGGCCATGGGAAATATTCTTATTGGCTATGACTTTTTGGTGAGTTCGGGAAGTACAAACATGGCCCCCAGTGACCCACACTTATGAATGGGTGGGATTGTTCTGGATACATTCAGTTGTTTGTAGACAGGGAGAGACAGAGCAATCGTCTTGGAAGACACCCTTAAAATCTGACTGATGCTTTTGTATATATGATCTTACACTAGCCTTGGTGGTGTAAATGCTAGACAATTGTCTAGCATTCTCACTGTTAGTAACAAAAGTGTAAATACACATATTTTATTAATCTGATATGATGATAACATTTTAATCTGCAGTTTAATTGCTAATATGCCGTTTTCATGTTTATATTTGCTATCTGCATTTATTATTTTGTTAACAGATTCTATATTTTACCTTTTTATTTAAAGGCCATTCAGTTTTATTATCCACTCATGTCTCTGACAAATACAATAAGAATTTAAATTTTTGTTGCTTTTATAATTTTCTGATTAAAATTTTCATAATTTCTCATCTTTTAAATTGATGCTAGACCTGGGTATATGTAGTATTTAATGTAAGAGCTAAACATGTGGCTCATTTTGGCACGCGTTTTTAATGATTTAAGACTTTAAAATTCTACCTTATCCAAAGACTTATTTACTTACTTTTGTTTTTGTTTTATTTTGGCACCTTAAGGAATTCTTTATCGTCATTTTAAGCTGCAATATTCAGTATGTTTCTAGAGCTCATTTACAATCACTTAGATAATAATGAAAATTGTTGCTCAATTTGAAAACTTCCAGATAAAGAAGAAGAAAATTCTACTTCAAACTAAGATGATAAAAGAGAATATGCAGAACAGAAGTCTTCCCCAGGTGTTGTTAGCCTGATTCATTCACTATATTTCCCTTTAAATCAAGCAAAGAATTGATTTTTTAAAATACTCTTGAGTTTCAAAAAAAAAATCACATTTTGAGAAATATATATATATAACTCCAGAAAAAAATCCTATATCATTCCACTATAAAGACACATGCACACGTATGTTTATTGCAGTACTATTCACAACAGCAAACACTTGGAACCAACCCAAATGCCCATCAATGATAGACTGGATAAAGAAAATGTGGCACATGTACACCATGGAATACTATGTAGCCATAAAAAAGATGAGTTTATGTCTTTTGCCAGGACATGGATGAAGCTGGTAGTTTCTTGGGAAACTACCACAGGAACAGAAAACCAAACACCACATGTTCTCACTCATAAGTGGGAGTTGAGCAATGAGAACACGTAGACACAAGGAAGGGACCATCACACATCAGGGCCTGCCAGGGGGTGTGGCGCTAGGGGAGGAATAGCATTAGGAGAAATACCTAATGTAGATGATGGGTTGATGGTTGCAACAAACCACCATGCCATGTGTATACCTATGTAACAAACCTGCACATTCTGCACATGTATCCCAGAACTTAAAGTATAATTAAAGAAAAAGAAAAATATATAACCCCAGAAAAAATACTATTAAGAAATAATATTCAAATCTAATTATCTCTAGTTTATATATAGAATTAAATCCTTTTTATTTTTTATGTTTATGTTTTCTAATTTTTTCTACTTTTTTTTGTGAGTTCAGAAGCAGTGTATATTCAGAATGGAGACGGATTCTGCAATTAAACTGTCTGGATATAAACCCAAGGTTTATACCTAAGAAGCTATATAATGATGGACAAGTGATTTTACCCTTAGTGTTTTGGTTTATTTTATCTGTAATACGGAGATAATGGTAATAGTCAAGCCACTTGCAACAATGCCTGGCATGTAATAAACTTTCAATAAATGTTAGCAATTACTATTGCAAAGCTCTTAACCGTTGTTTATGTTTAGTCTATGTGTTTTATATGTATTATCTCATTTTATTTTCACATTAACCTGGTGAGGTAGGCACTAGTTTATATACTGTGAAACAGGCACAGGTTAAATTCTTACCAAAGGTCATTCAGTAAGTGGTGAAGCTGGAATAGTAATCTAAGCCATTTAAAGCCTTAGCAAGCTACATAATACTGTCCTTTATTGTATAAGGAAAATCTATACAGATACTGAGATTTGTCTAAGTCAGTTCTGTATTTCTTCTATGTATCTTCATGTGTAGACTTTTTGTTTGTCTCATAGCTTCAAAGAGAAAACATGGAAAGAA